CACTCACCCCCCCCCCCCACTCTCTCTCTCTCTCTCTCTCTCTCTCTCTCTCTGTCTCTCTCTCTCTCTCTTTTTCTCCTTCTTCTCTCGCTCTCCCGTCTCGTGAGGCAGAATTTCTTTCGATTGGCCCTGCACGAGCTTCAGCTTTCAGACCCGTTCTTCGCGCGTCTGGTTGCGGATGGATGGCGCCAAGAACTATTTCAACGTACTGGTGAATGGCTGATACTTCTCCGCATTTCTCGGCAACGAAACTACTTGTAGGACTGAGTCTCCGGCGCCGGGCAAGACGCCAAAGACACGAGGCCTGCTGCTGGTGCTGAAGACCTATGCGGACCTTCGAGACTACCGCTTGGACATCGCGCAGCCTGCAGGATCTCCAGTCTCCGTTGAGGACAGGGACCCGGGTGCACCACGACCTCTTGAAGTCTGCCTTGGGCTTGCCTGCCTCCACATGTCGCGAAGGTGCAAAAGCGCACGGAGGCACGTCTCGCTTGCAGCGGTTCTTGTTGACAATTGTTGACGGAAAGAGTGCATCCGAAGGCCAACAAATCTCTTGAATTGCAGCGCTTAGAGTCGTCAGCGGGACGTGTGAATCGCATGTGTGGTGCAGAAGGAATACTGAACCGGCCGGTAGGCACTCATTGGGAGCTTGTTTCAGAAGCCGACCGGCTTGGTCGTGCTGCACGGCATCATTGCGGACAGCGAGTTGGAGGAGCTGCCCCCTGACGAGGTCCCAGAGACCGTGAGAGCTGAGCTGAGAGGAGATGGTAGAGCGTCGTGGAGTCGAAGAGTCACAGGTGACGCGGCGACTAGAGTTCTTGGGAGACTCCGAGACGAGTGGATTTGGCAACCAAGGGCCCAGCCAACCGGGCATGCCAGGAGCTCGAAGTAACGGATTCTGTCGGGGATCGTCGAGGTGTCACAGGCTTTACAGGTGTTGTGACATCGAAGAGGCTTTGTGCCGTTTCAGTAAAGGAATCAGGAATGGTGCGCGCGAAACCCGGACTTGCACAAGGATTTTTTGTTTGTGCTCCGCAACTTGAACGCGATTTGTTTCGCTGGGAGCTCGAAAGCCTTACATGCCTCCCTATGACACCGAGAGACGTGGCAGAGCCGTGATGTGGAGATCCGTAAGAGCTTCTTGCGTCATTGCAATCCGGGTTCCTCGTGCTCACGAGCTCCTGCACAAGACCAGCCATTCTGAGTCGGGACGAGGTGAGGCAAGAGGCTTCGATCGGCTTTTCGATGCAGTCCGTGTTGTAGGGAAATGCGTCCCCACCCGGCCAAATCTTCCCAGCTCAGAGAGTCGGTACTTTACAGTGTACAGGACTCGTCTCCATGCTGTCTGCGGCGCGCTTGGCGAGGGAGACATGCCACATGTGCTTGAGGTTTCAGGGGCTCCATGACAAGTGCGATTCTTAGATGCATCCTTCACATCAAGATGCCAACCAAGCCTGGCCAGCGCTGGTCGCAGGAGATCCGAGAGCGGATGAATGTGCGAAGGTGATGCGAACTGTCCAGGAGCACTCAAAGCAGACTTCCACAACATAGCCTGGAGTGGAGCAGGTGTCGTACGGGCCCATGTTCGATGGCCCATGTGCCCAACTGCCACTCTCCGTTGCTCTGTGCGGCCTTTCCCTCATGCCCTTCTGCATTTGCACGAAGGTTTGGAACGCTCCTGGCTGCTCAGCAGAAGTACCCTTCAAGGTTCGTGGTGCCGGCTTACCTCGCTGTGGCACTTGCCCTCTTGCGCAGGACCTCTACCTAAGAGTCCTGGGGACGAAAGCGACACTCGCAAAGACTGGAGGTTCAGTCCTTGGTCCATTTCTCAGCTTTCTCGCCCAGGGAGCCGACCATCAACAAGTCTGGCGACTGGTGTCCAGAAGCGACGGTGGTCTACCTGGGCGGGAACGACTGGTGGTCTCTCTCTTCACGAGGTCGGTAGACTTCAGTTATGTTGAGCCCTGCGCCGCCGAACAGACCAGGTGACGATGCCCTCATCGACGGCTTGCGCGAGTTCCTCACACGACTGCGTGTTTACAGAGGCAGCTTCCGGATGGCCTCCGATGCGACAAGTATGAAAGTGAGAAGCTGTTGGCTGGCAGATGCTGGCAGGACCAGAGGTTCCTATTTGCATTCTGCTGCCATCGCCAACTTCGGTGTGCGTGTCTCGGCTATTTGGCATCTCGAGCAGGCTCGTAAGACACCGCAAGGCAAGGCATGTGGCTGTGGCCACGGTGAAAAGACACAGCAATTGACAGAGATTGGGCCTGTGCTAGCTGCTGGGGTTGGGCTGAATCTACGGAGGCATGCATTGGCAGCTTGCCAGATCAGGTCGCTTCTTGAGAGGGATCGGGCGTGTTTGCTCATTGCTCTGTGTGTTGGCACGGAGAGGCGAGCTTTGCAGATGACATGTCACGCTGTTGGCCGGGCACTCGCGGGGGTTGGGGCGGCTGGGGGGGGAGGAATGCGTCCCGAGTCCTGCCCCGCGACCGCTACGACGCCACGAGGCGTGCAGCTGCTCAGCTGGTTAGTGACGAGAAGGCCCACACGGCCAGTGGTTCAGTGCAGTTTGAAGTAACTATCCGCAAATAGCCAGATCTTCCTGGATGTGATTGAGCCCGACCCCCCTTGCTCGCTGTCAAATCCCGGAGACTGGGGACAAATGGGGCCCCAGACTTAGTTGCAGGAATAAGGGCTGCTGCTTCTTGCACTTGCATCCGCCTGGGTGTGCTTTGCAGGCATTGGTCCGTGGAGGCCTGCCGTGCTCCTCATATATCCTCCTAGTCAATCCATGCCCTTGTGGACCCTGCCGGCAGGGGAACAGGAAGTGGGCTGCAGCCGTGGTTCCCGTTCTCAAGGCACGGCTAGCTTCGACGACTTTCTGAGGCGGTGAAAAGGAGAGTCAACAACTTAGTATTGCAGCGGCCAACTAGGCTCTGAGGCTTGCAGCGGCTTGCAGCGGCTTGCAGCGGCTTGCAGCGGCTTGCGTGTGCCTGTTGCCAGCACATGCAGCGCTGGCTCAGATGCGGGCGCCTTGGGCCTTGGGCTCCTCGGCCGCGCGGCCGCGCCATGCAAGTTCTCGTTCAACGCCTTGAGGGAGTGCCGGTCGGGACAGCGCGGACAGCTTCAGACTTCAGTGACTCCAGAGTCTCCCTCTTGTCTCTTTGTGCAGGAGCTACCTAAGCATCGGCTGCGATGGGCAGAGGATTCTAAGGCCGGTCGCGCTTCTGCAGCTTCTGAGACATTGGGCACGGCGGGAGGCGATTAGAAGCCGGCCGAAGCTTCCCGATTCCTGGCGCGGAGATCGGAGCCTTGAAGATAGAGGCATGCGGCATGCGAGAGTCCTTTGAGGTTGGGGGTGGCTCGCGCTTGAGTGAGGTGCTGCAGAGCATGGGCAGCGGCTACGTGGTGAAGCAGCCCGTGCCTTTGCCGCCTCTGCCTCTGCCTAACTAAGTGCTCTGAGCCATGGGACAAGGCCTGGGCGGCAGGCTTGCAGCTTGCCGCGAGCCTGGGGCGATGCTGTGAGAGTATGAAGAGCACCACATGCCACCCTAGTGTCGATGTCTTCGGTGAAGCCATGAAAGTGAAGATCCAACTAGGAAAAGTTTATTTCTGTAGGATGGAAAGCGTACATCTGGGATGTGGTCACTGCGCCGCCAAGTGCCGGGGTAGTGTATGATCTAGTATGATCTAGTCACTAGTCATTCTCCTTCTCATATCTTTGTCTGACCAAGGTCCGTACACGCATCAACCCGCGCAGTGTCATTCCTGAGGTCCTTCCTCCCTGAGACAGCAAGGGCCGCCATGAAGAACACGAAGATGCTGCTGGAGCTGGAACTGATGCCTCAGTCGTCAAGCGCTCAGCTTGCAGAATGCTCCAGGAAAGAATTTTCAGACGGCGTGAAACGAGTTTAGATAGCCTCTCATATCTGGTTTTCTTCTCATCAGTCGTTCTTGTCATTCCCAACAATCCCACAACCAGGATCATAGATCATCACTGTAGTAGCAATTCCGTCATCATGAATGAAACTGTTTTCGTGCCTCTGCATCATCGTGTTTGTTGCCAGTGTCATCAGTCTGTTTGGTTGTGTAACGCACGTGTGCGTGCAGGAACAAGGTTAGGCGGGCGGCCGAGCAGCATCTCGGCTCGCCCGTCATTTTCTGTGTTTGTGTCCTCGTCCTTTCCGCCTCTCGTCGGGACATGGCGAACTCCGGATCCACGCCCGTGCCCGCTGCCGCCGCCGCCGCCAACGCTTCGCCCATTGGGGCGGCCGGCCTGGATGCGGCGCCGGGCGTGGGTCTGGTCACTGGCCCGACCTCGGTGTCTTCTACACCTACGCCTGGTGTTGGAGCCGGCGCCTTTCGAGGCGCTCGCCTCTCCGGGCACTTTGCCCGCCGAGGCTTTCACGCCGGGCGGGGCGCCAGGGGGGCGGAGCCTGACGACAGTCCAGCTCCGTCCGGCCCGCCCCCGCCGGCAGGCGGCAGCGACAGGGGCACCCAGACGTATGAGGACCATTTCATCAGGTCCTTCGTCGCTGGCATGTCGGTGCCCCGCCTGGCCACCGTGATTCGGGCCCTGTCGCCTGAGGACGCCGCGAACCTCCGGGCGGCCTTGGTCGAGGCCGACGCCACGCCCGACCAAGACACCGCCGCCCTGGGCGAGGATCCGTCGACTATGCCCTGGTCGGCGCCTTCGGCATCTGGGGCGCCTGGGGCGGACCAGCCCACGACAGATCCGGGCCCTTCTGCGCCGGAGGCGCGCGCATTCTGGGAGGGGCGCGACCCTGCTCCCGTCAGGGCCCCGCCGCAGCCAGTCGCCGACCCGCCGCTCCCGGAGGCGGGCTGGGACGCTCTCACGTCCTACCTGGCCGAGTTCGACTCCGCCTCAGGGGCGCCTCCGGCGGCTTCGGCTTTGCCCATTCGGTCGGCGGCAAAGCCCAAGACGGTGGCTAAGGCCCCGCCTCCGCCTTTCCTGGAGCCGGACTCTACCACGCCGCCATCGCCTACGTCAGGATCGTCGGCGAAGCCGCCACCGGTTCCTTTCCCGCCGAGGCCGGCGACGTTCAAGAGCACGGGGCCGCTCAGTATGGCGCCGCGGCCACCGCCGACGCCCGAGGCGGCCAGCAGCTCTACCGCCAGGGCTGTTGTGAAGGCACCCCCGGTGCTGGAGCCAGAGGCGCCGAGCTCCTCTACTACGACGCCCTCATCGACGGCGCCTACCTTGGAGCCCAC